CGACCGCTGGCTGGATGAGTCGGATGCTGAGATGGAACTGAAGGAGAAGGTCAGTCCCGCGGACACGTGCGGGTTGTGCTAGCTGCTCCCCTGCGCGTGAACTCGTGTTCTTCCTTTTCCTGGCGTTGCCTGGCACGCTGATTGTCACACAGATCCCACGTAGAGTTGGTTACATGGTTCAAACCGTAAGCAGGGGTTCAGAAACATGCACACTTCTGACTAGAGAAAGCAGCGGCCTGACCCGAACCGGTGGCTTTGCAAAGGCTTGCACACCCTGCCCCGTGTCACCCCATAGCAGGGTGACATCAGCGTGCCACGCAGAGCCCAGAGACACCGGTCCCAGGCGTTGCTTGTCTGGAAAGCTGGGATTTCGTTAGCTTTCCAGAGCCACGGAGCTGGCCCCGACGGTGCGTTCCCACCATCTGGTGAGCTCGAGCAGCTTACCGCAGCGGGGAGGTGACAGGCTGGCGTGGAAGAGCCTTGAGCAGACCACCTTTCTGCAAATCTCTTTCACAACAAACGCCGCCCTGTTCCCCTCCACAGCCTCAGCGCGGAGGAGGAAGGGTCGCTGCGGTGCCGGGAAGGCAGCGAAGGGCAGGCAGGAGCCTGGGCTGGGTGTTCCGGTTCCCTTCGGGTCACTGGTGGGTCACAGAATGTTTTAAGGAACAGCTCTAAGAAATGATAGTAACTGAGAATTAACACAGCAAACAGCAGGCTTTTTCAGCAAAAGCATCTAATTGGGAGAATAAAATATATAGTGGGGGCAGGATCATCGTTAACACCCTCTAGCTTTTACCATGCCATAATTTCTGGGTGATGAATGTGCTGGTTTTTGCGGTGAAAATGTAAACCCTGGAGCAATGGGCTGCTTAGCTGGGTTCTAAACCCAGTAGCTTTGCAGTACTGTAGTTAACAAATCACTTGCTAATTACAGTAACAGTCTTTAAAACCTTATCCTTCATCTTAAGGAAGAAGAAAAGATTAACAAAATGAAAATAGAATCCAGAGTCCCAAAAGACCGTAAGTAACCATACATTTTTAGTGGGTGAGGTGGGGTTTAGAAGGCTTCTGTCACTCTTATACGCAAACCTCATCTCTTACAGAGAATTTTGACTGGCTTGCTGCGACTTGGAGGGGGACCTTTGTATTGTGAACTATTTAAAAACTTAATAATAATGGATTGCAGTTTCCAAGGAATTAAAAAAAAAAAAAAAAACAAAAAAAAAACCTGCCTAGCAAGAACTGAGTTCTAGCAGGTGATGGTAAAAGCAGGCAGTACCCCAGTGCACACAGCAAAACCCTTTTATCGCAATCGATCGTTAACCTTGTTCTCATAGAAAGCCTGGTTTGCAGCTGTGCTCTCTGCAGAAGCGTTACCCTTGTGCTCTGCTCACCTGATGTGCTTGTTGCTGATTTTAGCTTTCAAACACCTGAAGAAGGGCTACCTAATCATGTACAACCTCGTACAGTTCCTGGGATTCTCTTGGATTTTTGTGAACATGACAGTACGACTCTTCATCTTAGGAAAAGGCAAGTGATAAGCACTATTTTCGTTACATTGGGGGTTCTGCTTTGGTTTTTTAGTTTTTTTAATGCTTTCTAAATAGTGAAGTCTAAAGGAAGAGATATTTAGGAAACAAAACTGTTATTGCAACACAAAAGCGCACAACAAAAGCCTCTCGAAAGCTGTAGCAGTGTCAAGGATAGGGAAATACTGTCCTCGTGTAAATCACAGCCGCGTGTGCTGATGAACGGTCCTCTGCCAGGATGATTTCCAAAGGAATCAGCTGGAGCAAAACGTCTCGAGCTCCCTGCAGTGTTAGTATTTCTGAAAACGAGCTGGGCAGAATATTTTGTTTCTGAAGCAAGAACGATTCATTCTATCGAGGTACAGCATTACTGGGTTGTTTTTTTTTTTGGAAAGTAATTACTGAAACAGCTCTTGATCCTTCTGTGCACGAAGCAGAGCACTTGAGCAGTGTTCCTGGCCTGACTGCTGGGACTTCAAGATAAACCCTATAAAGAAGTTAAAAACATGATCCAGAATTATGTCTCAAATACAGCTAGAATCCTGGTGCCAAACGCTCTGCTGCTGCACCTGCTTCCTGGACGTGGAAATCCATTGGTTCTCTAAAACGGTTTCCTGTGTCTTCCAGACTCCTTCCACGACACGTTTCACACGATTTCCGACATGATGTATTTCTGCCAGACCCTGGCGCTGATGGAGATCGTGAATTCCCTGATAGGACTGGTCCGGTCGCCGCTGATACCTGCTGTGGTGCAGGTAATGTTTTAAGATTCCTCTCCTTGCTCCCCCCACGTTTATAGGAAATCTGTTTTACGCCAGTGGTGAGACCCTCCTAAAATAAGTGACACAACCTTGTCCTTGGATTGCACCGAAAGACAGAGCAAAATGCGCGCTCGGAAGAAGCAGGGCACAGCTGCAGAGTTGGTTCTGTGCTCAGCATCTGTTTCAGGCGTGAAGAGTTGATACCCTGCCTGGTTTTGACAGCAAGGGCTTGTGCTTTCTTGTGATGAAGAGTGTGACTGTTCCTTAATTTTATTTTTTTCTTTTTTAACAGATATTTGGAAGAAACTTTATTTTGTTTGTTGTCCTTGGCAGCTTAGAGGAAATGCAGAGCAAACCTGTGGTGTTCTTCATCTTCTATTTCTGGAGTATCATTGAGTTGTTCAGGTTTGTGGGATTTGTCCTCTAGTAGGTCTGTACAGAACAACGCGCTTCGTTTTCAAGAACTCTTTAAAGATTTTGATCCTTGTAGCTTTTGGAAGAGTAGCTCTAGTGCATTGGCCCCAGAGAGTAAAATCTTTAAATCTGAAAAGAATATTTCCCTGAACCTAGGGAAACCTGGTGCTTGTTTCCTTTTCCATAAGGATGTGTCCATCGTGATCCATAGGAACAATTTTTGAATATTGAGTCATTTGGGAATTAGGCTGGCTGTTCTGTACAGCAGGTATCTGCAAGACTAATTCGAGCAGCAGCTTCCATTTTAAACAGTGTCTGTTTCCTCTCGCACCGGATGGGCTTTAGGTATCCCTATTACATGCTGTCGTGTATTGGTATCGAATGGAAACCGCTAACCTGGCTCCGGTACACTACCTGGATCCCTCTCTACCCTTTAGGAGGCTTAGCAGAAGGTACGTCTGAAAAAGCCAATTTAATAAACAACAAAGTCAAGGCTGGGCAAACAACTCAATTTTTGTCTGCTGGACTGAAAAATAATATAATAGAACAACGATAAATAGATAAATCATTTGCTTTGAGCTGAACCGAATATAAGCATTTTTGTCTTCCTTACTGAATCAAATTTTTTTTTTTTCAATTGGATGTGAAAAGAAGTCTTCCTTTTGGGCACTGGAGAGGAAAAGCAACAACAGGTTGCCTGACAAAGTGACTGAGCACGTGCTGCGGTCCATGCGAGCGGCACAGGATGCCGATGTTCACTCTGCTGATCCAAGCAGTGTCTTTGCTGTTGTCTGCTAGACCTGACTCAGTCAGCCTAGCTTGGGTTCACCCAGAGCTTGACGTTATCTTGTAAATGGAGGCACGGTGCTTGCCGGGCAGGGCGCTGCTCCCCTGCTGCTTGGAGAGCGATTGCTCCGTGGGAGGAGCAGGCTCCCCGTCTTCTTGCAGCCCCTCTGGGCAGGGGGGTCTTACAGTGACCTGTCTTAGCAGGTCTGGTTTATTTTTTAAATTTTTATTTATTTAACAATTACATCGTCACTCGGCTTCTAGCTGTAAGAAATGTGTTGTGCTCTTGCCTGTCAGAACCTGTCCCGTGAGCAGGCTTGGGCATTGCCCAACTCCGAGCGCAGGACAGACGATGCCGTCTGATTGCTGTGGGTATTTCTGCAGGGTAAATCCTGCTGGCGTGGGCTGCGGTTGAGAACAGGGTCTCACCGGGCGAGTTCACTGTGCTTAGCCTTACCGCTGAACTGCTATTTAAAAAAAATAACAGCTTTAAAATTTATATAATTAATGAGAGCTAGCAAATGAGAAGGGAGTATCCTGAAAAAGTTGGTGTGGGCTGGACAATTGGATATTTTATCTGTGTTTGATAATGATGGTGGCCTTCTGCTTTCAGCTGTCTGTATCATTCAGTCCATTCCAATCTTCAGTGAAACAGGGAAATTCAGCCTGGGATTGCCAAATCCGCTGAACGTCACAATCCAGTTCTCATTTTTGCTTCAGCTATACCTTATAGCCTTGTTTTTAGGTAAGATATTGAATTGTATTTCTCACTATTCAAATAAAAAGGCCAGTTTTCTCTGAATAGGTAAATGTTGCAAAGAAAATTAAATTCCTGCATCGTGGGGATCATGGCGACACAAAATTGCTTGAGGTTAAGCATTATCCCTGTTGCTTGTTTATGTAAGTTTGTCAGGGATGGAGGGGAACACGCCTACAATTAGCACTGGTCAGCCCCCCAGTAAGTTAGCAGCATTATTTACTGATCACTTGGGTTAAAAGAATAATTTTTAGATGTATTTAGAACCTCAGTATACTTAGTTTTACCTTTTACATGGTATCTGAGCTTTGGAATGATTTAGTGGAAATCTAAACGTAATTTCAGATCAAAGCAATGTTTAACTGAACTGCATTATAGTCACTAATGCAACACAAAGTCCAGGAAACAATACAGAAGGCTCTTTAAATACCAGTGTATTTAAAGAAGAATGGTGCTTGATGCATATTTGGTTTCTGGTGTTGCGTTTTTAAACATAAATTAACTTTGTAGTAAGCACACCCATGTCTGGCTATCCAGAACGAAGCCCAGCCTCACCTACCCTCATAAACTGAATTTCACCAGATTTCTCCCTTTCGCAGACATAGCTGAAAGGCTGCCTGTCATCGAGTTTCACTGTGAAATACCTGTTTGATCCAGCTCTGCACAGCTGGTGTTGCAACTCTTTAAAATTGACAAATGAGCCTTCTGAGCAACCCCGTACCGACCAGCCCATGCAGCAACTCCTGCCTCACCCAGCAAGAAAAAAAATTCATTATCTTTCAGTGCTATACACCCCCTTAAACCATGGCTTTTTGTGTGGTGGTTGGTTTGGTTTTTTATTTGGTACAGCCATCTAGCCTTAAAAAGATGCAATAATGTCCCACCTAAGGGCTTTGTTCTTTTTCAGGGGTATTTGTAAACTTCCGTCATCTCTACAAGCAAAGGAAACAGCACCTGGGACCAAAGAAGAGAAAGATGAAGTAAAGGAGGACTGCAGTGCTTTCTTAAATAACTTATCTCAATGACAAGATAAGCCTCTAATTCTTACAGTTTTACCCACTGTAATGTAAAGAATTTTGTAAAATGAAATGATCAAGCTAGATTTCATGATTTCCTGGTGACTTCAGGTGACATTCCCACATACTGTGTTTGGTTCCCTTTCAATCACGTATGCATGGCATTTACCACTGAAACCTGTACTCTGTCAGCTACCACGTTAGAAAGAGATCCTGTTATCTGCATATAATATGCTTCTGAACACTGGAGCAGCACTAAATAGAAATAGTGTTTATCTTTTAATTGGATATTTGCTCTTTCGATATTGCATGCAGATAGGGCTTCTGGTGTCGGGATATATCGTCAGCTGGCTCACGCTGATCCTCGGGTGCATCGTGATGGCAGGAGGAGCACAGTCTGACACCACTGTGAACAGTGTTTGGGTGTTTATTTACGGTTGGGGTAAATTTGCTCAGCACATACCTGCTCCCCCCTTTTTCTTCTGCAGCAGAATTAAAACTCGAAGTTGCTAACGTCGATTTAAATGGTACCGACTTAGTCTGGTTCTAGTTTAACAGAACAGGAGCGCTTATTCCTGTAGCAACACATCCTTATCCCGTCATTAGGGGAAGGAAGCTGCTGCTCTGACATGGTCAGAAACACTTTGGGGATTGGTAATGCAAGTGCTGAAACAGGACAGAACAAGGAAACAGGTACCAGCTTTCTCCTTGCTCGGGAACAAACCCAGCAGAACTCCATCCCACCCATGCAAAGGGAAAATGTGGAATTGTCATGGGAGACTGGGGCTCTGATCATTCCTGGCGGGGCTGTAGCTCCTGTATTTACAGCCCTCGGAAAGGCAGTAAAGATCGCTTTTCTACTGAAGCTTAGGGTGCAGCGGGATGTGGTGTCTGTGCTTTGTTGTCTGGCCCCTGGTGGGATGGAGGAGTGGGTCAGTAACCGCTGTACTATTTTGATGGCTTGTATCAAATCTCAGTAAGGGAGATCCCACGCAGGGTTGAAGGGACCCTTTTCTCTGTGTTTGCTTTAAACAATGGCAACAAAAAAAAAAAAAAAAGAGAGAAGGTCCCCCTGCATTCCAGGTGATCTGCTCTCTTACCTGGAAACCTTTGTTTCAGTTGATTTGATTTCAGCATGCCCTTCTTCACACCCAGCCTCCTGTAGTTAATTCCAGATGCCTCTGGCCTCCTTCATCCAGTTTAGAAGAAGTTTGCTTCAAAACCGTACTGTGGTTCAGAACAGGTTGCTTCACACTAACTGCCACCACCCCAGGGCAACGCAGAGCCATGCCAGCAATCCCGAACAGGCACTGAGGTTGAGATTAGCTCAGTGCCCTGTTACTATTTATCTTTTTCTACTGTAAAACAATGTGAATCCTCCAGAAAATTATTTTCTCTATTAAAGGTAGCAAACAGCTTACTGTTTGTGAGACGGACCCAGTGATTGTTACTGTAAAGGAAGGGAAATAGCATTATGTGGAGATTTAAACAAAGAACTGGTATAAGCTCCACGCTGCATTTCACAAACGTGTTCTGTCAACAAGAGGAATGATGCAAGTTCTCTGTAGGGATACTTGAGGCTCACCCTCAAAGGAGAGCACAGCTTACTTTACTCAGAAGAGTTCAGCATTATTTACACACTTAATATTTCACCATAGCACACACTGTACCTATGTTTGAAATATGGCAAAGGATTGAATCAGCTGAGTAATGGAACAGCAAGGATCACTTTCGTACTTTAATTTTTCCACTGGGCATTTAAAGTTCTGTTATGAAATCTGTATGTGTTCATACATATTTCTCAGTGCAATTGTGGTACCTAGTGCAAGCTGTCATGGATCTTACACTACTGAATTTTAGTCCTTCAGAAAGAATGTGTTTCTATTAATAAAGATTTACAACCAAATTTTGCTTTAGTTCTTTCCCTGAATTCAAGAAGTTCTAGGATTTATTATTTAACTCTTGTGCTGGGAGACGAGCCTTCACCAGATCAATCTCTTAGGCCACACAGCCTAGTTCCTATGAAAATGGCACAAATCCAATTTAAGTTTTCATTAAGAATGACTCTTTATTAATATTACACAAATAAAAAACTTGTCTCAGAAGATTAAGTTACTTTCACAAGCACCGTAATGCCAGGGATAACTCTCCTTTCGGCAGGACAGACTGGCTGTCAAGTCGGGCAGAAGATCAGTGACAACACCCTGAAATGAGCTGTGTATCTGATCTTGTACTAATTCTTTGGACTAATCAAGTCGGTGTATGAAGTATAGTAGCTGCCTTTTAGGATACTTACACCAGTGAGTTCAGTTATGCAGTAACCACATTTTGGGGAGCCACGAGCACTCTGCTGCCTATGATGGCATTTTTTTTCTCTCCTCACATGTACTGAATAACTTCCACCCATCATCCAACAGAGTAATTGACTTTGGGACACTTTCCACAGTTTCCAGGTCTGACTAAAGCCACCACAAACTAGCTACGTTTATTTAGATGCAGATGAAGGACCCTGTTTTGATAGGAAGTTCTCCAAACAGGAATTAATCAGGCCCTAGAAAGTAAACGGGACAAGAAAATTGGAACCACTTGAGTCTTAAATCTACAGAAGTTCCCAGAATGGAGACTTCACATTCTTTCAGTGCTGCTACTGGAAAAGTCTGTCTGCAGTGGAGCAATGTTATGATCGTAGGCAGCATATTCCGATGCTCCGGTACTTGCCACTTTAAGCTGCTGAGCAGCGTGTGTGAGCTGAAACGCTGCATCGGGATGAGCCGTGTCGGGAAGCAGGGTGCACTCGCGCTCCAGCATGTCTGCCACGCCTTTCAGGAGGTCCAGAAAGCCAAAAGCCAGAGCTGCCTTTCGTAAACGATTCAGTTCCTGCGAAGAAGGAAAATCCCTTTTAATGCCATGGTAAAAATGTGATCTTCCCACTTTTTTTTTTTTTAAAGGCAAGTTTATTCACTTATAGGAAAATAATCTGAGTGATCAGTGCAGCTGCTGGAAACTGCCCAGCTGCTTGTGGGATAAAATATGCTTCAGGGCTCAAGATGATAGTGGCACAACTAAACAGCTGGTTTTCCCTTGATCCCTTCCTATAAATCTCCACTTTTCCCTGTTGTGCATTCAGCTATTGTACCTGCCTGTTTTGTCTGCCTCCCATTTAGGCTTCGCTTACTGCTGCCTTTAACCACAGTGTGCAGAAAAATGTACATCTATTGATTTTTCTTCACAATAAACGGAGGAGTACTTATGTGCATTTAGGCAGGGTATTCATTCTTGGAGTCTCTGGGGGCTACAGTAACAAACTGCTTCAGCACTAAGCTTACAGGAGGAACAACAATTACCTCCAGCTACAGTCTCGATTATGGATTATTCTGATGTGGCCAAATGTGCCTGGAATTTTGTCTTTCTCTGCTTCATTTGTAGAAAAAAAAATGTAGGAGACATTTTCAGACTCAGAATAACATCAAGCAGAGCCCCTTGTCTCACCTTAACTAGTCTGTAAAACGCACCCAGGATGTCTCCTTAGCCCTACAAGCCGGCACAGAGCATACCACAGACACAGACAGTACGTGTTCCTCTGCCAAATGCATGGCTATCATACCTGGGCTGGCCTGAAATGTTACTCACTTTATAGAAGGTTTGAGTTTTTTCAGGGAGTTTCCTTGCATTTCTCAAGATCTTCTGTACATCCGTCTGCAGAAAAGAAAAAAAAAAAAATTCTTGGCAACTGTTGGGGAAGCTGCAGCAAAAATTCTCAACTATTTATTGATAAATTACCCTGACCATTGACAAGACTGCAGCTCACAAAGGCTGGAACATAAATGGTAATTATACTAAATTCAATAAACAGACAGATGCTACACTGGAGCCACAGCTTTGCTTCCTGATTGCATTTTAATCAAGACATTTTAAAGAGCCAGTGTTTATAAAAATGAAAGAAAAGCAATAAAGCAATTACATTAAACGGACAAGGCACACACAGGGTCCACTTTGCTGGTAAGAGGGTTGTTGCTGATCAAAGGAAAGCATCAAGCCCAGAACCTGTATCGTTACCTGGAGGCCACTTGGTTTTATCCAGACGGTAACGTTCTGTGCGTAACTGCGCTTGTTCTTGGGTTGCAAGGGGAACGGGCTCTTATTGTCATCCTCTCCATAAGGATTTTCTTTCGCATCTGGGGCAGGGGGGGAATAAAACAAAAAGAACTTAACAACTAAGACTTGGCAAGGCCATTCACACAAGGAAACACTGAATGTGTAAGAGTTATTCAGATGAGCGTGACTGGTACCTGAAATGGGTCCAAGCTGTGCCATCTTCCCCAGCCATGGAAGGGGCTCAGGACCAGGTTCAAAGAGCGACATCATGAGGTTTGATTTCTTCTTGCTATCAGCTTGTGAATAGAGCATTCCATACCACTCTGGCCTATTGAAAAGAGCAAAAAGGCTGAAAATCTTCCACCCCTCTTTGCCCAGAATTTGCCGCCTGCGACTGTGTGGAGGCTCCTTGTTTGCAATTTTTACTGGCAGAAACATATCCACAATTAAAAATCCACAGTTTTGCCTAGCAGTACAGAGTTCTCTACAGATATAAATAAGCATAATTTATAAATAAAGCATAAATGAGCAAAGTAAGAGATTTTTTCAGGCAGACATCCAGCTCCATACCCCAACTGGACGACAGCCACCATGCCTTCCACTTTCAGGCTGCCATGTAATAAAACACAGAAGTTGGGGATTTTCCCAGCAATCTGATTAGCTGAATTCTCATCTTCAGTGTCGTCTGTGATCCCAGGTCCCACCTCATCACCTTCTGGGGAAGAATAAAAGCAAAGAGACAACATAAGAATACATTCAAACACACTAGTTCTATTTCCATGACACCACCCTGTATTTTCTGCCGGGCAAGAGTTAATTAATACTTTTGGAGAACGAACTGCTAAATGAACTGTTTGGGCAAAGTGGCACTACAATGTTCTATCAATATTCCACTGCATCCCACTCGCAAAACAGGGTTACCTACAAACTGCAAATAAAACCTCAGCTTTGGAGAAACTAGAAGTGGAATGAAACAGCACCAGGAGTCTGGCAATGAA